AAAAACAATTCGCCGCTACTCCGAGCATGAAAAACGAAGGGTAACTTTCGTTTGAAGCATTTTTTTAACATTTCGCGTGTATCAAAAGTTCGCACGCTTTAAAGGGGAGACGAACTTTTTCGACTCGCCCGTTAGTTCCATTAATATTCTAAACAATTTTCGGATCCATCTACTCGCTGGTATTTCAGTCGGCATTTCACACTTTCAAATTACGGGGTCAAATGTCACCCGTCAGATTCAACGTTAGAACTATCCATCAAGTCGACTGTTCCAAATTCTTCTATGAAATCTTTATGCACCATCAAAACGATATCTTCAAAAATTTCTACATATATACCATAACATAAACCCTCTCATTCAGAAACAAACTTTTATGTCTCTCCTTGCCAGGTGTCCTCAAACTCTACTCAACCTCTACATTAATCTACAATTTAACACGTTGACTACGAATTTCTATCGTTTCGAAATACTTATTCTTTAATAACAAACACAAATAATATTGAAAATAATTACTGATCTACTACAGTAGTCATTACTATCCAGCTAGTTATGTTACCAAACATTTTTAAAATCAAGCTTTCTATTCTTCAGCAACGTAAACGATCATCGGTGACCGTCAACGTGTTAATCGAATGCCATCGACGCAGTCTCAAAACGAGAAACCAACTATGCCATAAAGAATTAACGAAGTTATAAAAGGTACATCCTAACAACACCCGTTCTAATAAGTGTCTACTCATCCATAGATTACGTGTACAATCCAAAGGAGGCCAGGCTGCGTAAGGCGATGCGTGAGCAGACTCGCGAGCTGTCCCGACGATCGATCCTCCAAAGTGCGATCGCCAGGGCGGGCGTGATCGCCGGGCCCGTCGCGTCTTCCGGTTTCCTGGAGCACCAGCACCGTTTCGGTTGCGTGTCGAGTTCCGGTCTGCCGATCAACCCACCGCCAGTGGAGTCGGAGAACAGGGTAGCCGAGCCGTGGTTCCAATCTGCGCCGCGTCCCAAGCCGATCCACTCGCCGCGGATGGCCGATTGGTACAGCGGAGTCGGCGGAGAGCCGATCGACAGGCTGCAGGTGCTCAAGTGCAAGGAGCCGATCAGATCGCAGGCCAACGTGGCAGCCGGTGGGCCGGAATGTGGACCTGGCTTCCCTGCCGCTGGCTACCCGGTCGATTTCGCCGATGTCAACCGGGAAAGGGAGCTACGCCGGCAAGAGAACATCACCGAGTACGGTGAATTCAACGACGGCCAGAAATGGCACCCTTATCAAGTAATGTCTGATGGAGCTGCTAGGATAAGGTGTCTTGCTGGTGCGACTGGGAGGGTTTTCAATTTGGAGTTACTCGGTTCTTATGTTGAGTTAACCCTCTGTAGGCCCATGTAACATTGAGTCATATATCAGTATATTGGCATCTTGTTGATTTATTTCATTCTGCACACAAAGTGGTGAATAAAATTAAGTAATCAGTTAACTTCAACTTTTATACGCTCAGTGAAGGTTTAACGTCATTGTAACTTGAAAGTTATCAAATATATTCGTTTGATGAAATTATTGAAAGCATTAAATACATTGTTAATTCGTATGCATATGTGAATATTTATTAATTTTGTACTGTATAGATTTTGTTCTAATCGTGAACAAAAATTCGGCCCATAGAGGGTTGATTTTAGGAAGTTTGGGTGAAGGGAATTGTCCACCTTGGTTCTTCCAGGGAATGTAGATTCACCGTCGAAATGTACTATTGTGTGGACGACAAGCGGAAAGCAAGTCACAGAAGTGATTGTAACCTGGTGGAAATGATTTGAATGAATGATTCAAGACGTTTTCAATTTCGTAAAATTAGTTGATAAGTGCTCCTAGTTGTACCAGCAGTTATAAGACACTATGTATATTCTGTTCGCTGAAGTTTTCCTAAGATATCTGTTTGTAACTGGATTCGATACGTTATAGAATGGCGGAGGTTCTCATCAGCATGCCAGATCGTCGCACCCTCCCCAAATGAGTGGGATCCTTCATCCAAACGTTCAGAGTCCGAGTTCACATGGACACGGACCATGGGGCCAATTTTGTCACGGCGTATTGCCGCGTAAGTACATGATTCTGAATGAGAAATTGATTATTGCAGTATACAGTTTCTAAAAGTCCAAAATTTGTAATTACAATATAAGAAGAAGTACGCAGGACAAACCTTTATCTCACTGCAAACCGTTTCAGAGCATAATGTATGAAATGTAATTCTAAAATCTGACTATGTGAATTGTTCGATGTTTAGAAAACGGCCATTTCTGTTCTGCTCGATAGCAAAGATCCCATTATTCCAATTCCTGATCAATTATTCGCTCTACGTCGCGAATAGCTCTAGAAACATTGATCTCTACTTGTTCAGTTGATTGCGGATTATTGGCACCAACTGTTCACTCAGCAGACAAAGAAGTCTCACAGTGTTAAACTCGGATTTGCTTATAATTCAGTGTGATTTCAGCTTCGATTCAAGCCGATCGTAAATTCGTAGGAAAGTAGCTCGAGTTGTGTAATCGCAGAAAATAATTTCTGTGAGATCTGCGCTTGTACTCTTCGCGAGACACTTAAGGGTTTCGAGTATCTGTATATTTTCTCGTGGACAGGCTAAGCGGAACGAATTAAAATTTTGGACAAATCGTTGGCTTCTGTTTTCTTTAAATGAGATATAATTGTATAAAATTCTATAGTAATCGTACTAGTAATAATGATTGATACTAAGTCCAATCAGAATTACACAATAATAGTAAAATAACATCTGCGTTTATCTTGCAGACGTACCGACCATGCCTCGAAACATAGGAGTTCGTGGACCACGACACACCGTTCTGCTGCGGGACCGTCTAACCGGCAGACATTGCGGATTCACCGAGGAAACGGCGCGGTTGCCATACGCTGCGAATAAACTCGACGTGGAGAACATGCGAGCGTCATATTCGTCTCCCGACCACCAGGTCTCCCTTTGTTTTCATTTGCAAACGATTCGAGCTTAACATACGTCAATCAAATTTGAACAACCTAAGCTGAACACGTTTTTTAAACAGTCTTTGATAAAGTTTTTAAAGTTGAGAGTAAGAGTGAACAACGATATTGTAAATTGCGATGTTTGTATAAAAATGTGTAATTGTCTCGTAGATGCCGAGATTACTGGAATCATCAGTCGACGGTATCGTTGATTCTACGTCCACGTCGAGGACTCGACGGGAAGACGAGGGACCTAGGTGGGAACCGAACGCCATCAACAATGGAATCTCTATGGATAACATAACGCCGACCACGGTAAGACGCTCCTACAGATTGTTATAAGACTTATTTGCGGTTGAGCAGCTTTAACGGAGTCACCAGGAATATTTACTCTTCCCATTACGTAACCACCGAATCTTATAAATCGTACACTGTTTATGTTTGTACGTATATGTATCTCTCTTTCAATTACCGTCTCAATTGAAGAAGGTATCCATTATCGTACCGCTTATTAATATTCTGAGAATTTTCGCATTTCAGTTTGTAGCATATATATTGTTTCTCAGATGGTAAAGAAACAAGTTACAAAGATGATGATAATAATAATAATAATAATACTAATAATAAATACACTTATCATTTCATTAATATTTTCTTTAAACGTCAATTCTAATTCAATAATTACATCTTCCGTTAGTCGTACATCAATATAAATGTAATTATTTTATACTTTTTTAATACAATTCAATTCATCAAACAACGACTCTTTGCACTCCAAACAATTTTATTAATTCATTCTTACTATCAGCAACCAGCTATTCCATTAAATCGCGTATACATTTTAAAGTTATCCTTTATTGAAAACAGAGTTATCAGCTTATCTAACACTGTCACCGAACGGCGACAACAGAGTGCAAAGGGTTAGAAAAATTCGGTATCTGTGAAACTCGCGAGTTCTACGAATCCAGCGTTAAACGAGGATCAACAAGCTGATTCGTCAATCGAAAACCATACCTAACCGTCGAACCGAATAATCCTCCAATCTAATGTGAACAGGATCCGAACGTGCCCCGCGAGAAGGAGCCGCGCCGATCGGCGGAGAGGTTCGAGCCGAAGAAGAGGACCGTCAGCAAGCAGCCGTTGCCCGGATTCCACCAGGCGTTCGGCTCGACGGAAATCGGCCGATTCTCCAGGTCGGAGTTCTTCGCGAGCATGGTGGGCGGCGAGAGTAGCAGCGGCGGCGTGGAGGTGCCGGACACTGAAGGCTCCGACGTAAGTACTACCACAGACCGCATGGCGGACGGTGCCGGAGCAACGTCGCACGACACTGCACCGGTCACCACGACCGCGACGACCACCGTCAGGAGCTTCAACGCCGAAGAGAACGAGGAAGCGGACTTCGACGAGTCCAGCAACGACCTCGTCGCGTCGACGCCCATCGGCATCTACTGCGGACAACCGGCTGCCCCGCGTTGGCACAGTCCTCACGTGGGCGCTATAGGTAGCGAAATTTAAGCGGAACTTTAACACGTCGACTACCGACAGCAAATTTGACAGCCTCCTCTGTACCCTGAGTTATTTGTATAAACGCACTTGGTTAGACTTTTTCTTGACGAGAGTCTTCAACTGGGAACTTTGAGTGATGTTTCACAATTTATTATTTATTTTGAGTGATATGTTTCAAGAGAATGTATGGTTAATGGAATTAGAGCAGTGTTTAGCAAATCATTGGCGATTTTGGAATAGAAATATGTTGACGTGGTACGTTTTTCTAAGAGGCTAAGTGTAATGTGGTAATTGTTTGTTTGTTGTTATGACTTGTATAGTCTTGGGGTACAGGGCTGATATGTGGACTGGTTGAGCAACTAGTCCTCGGTAGTCAACGTGTTGACCCTTTCGTGGGCTCTAGCGTTTTTCCCGATTGAGATTCGAGGAATTGTTCAGAATCACTCGTTCCTAAATTCTTCTTTCGCAATTATTGGAAAAGTAGATCTTCTCTGAGACATTTTTGAAGAGATTATTTTAGGAAAAGGTGTACTAAATTGTAGAGATACTCGGGGCTTCTATAGAACAATTTTGAAAAGTCAACTTGACTGCTGGTTCTAGTGTTAAAATTTGTTTGGAATTAAACGAAACCTAGTGGATGATTGTAATAATTGTGTTTGGAATGCCTTGTCATTTTTCAAGGAAGCTTCAGGATATATGTATGCATCTCATCTTGTTAAAGTATTGTATTGCGATTTTGTTCTCATTGAGACCGTGGAAGTTTTATTGTTCATGGTTCGTTTGGTACGACAAAATCGTTAATGTAGAGAATGTTGCTCGTTTGAAATGAACAGGGAATCGATGAATTTGATTTCGGGAAACGCTGGCCTACGAAACAACTCGAAACAACTATAATGTTGCGTCCAAGTGTGTAAAGTATCTCCAGGCGACAGCGGCGGGGAAATGGAGTAGCATAAGTGACAATTGAGCGGAGGAAGATCACTGTACACTTGTTTAATGTACATTCACAAGCATACGCTCGGATACTTTATCGTGAAACAATCGAATGTGTCACGCATTGACTCATAAATTTGTTCACATGCTGTCGCGTTTGCTTGCTCGGATATTATACAATACATAGTTCGTTTCTCATGTTAGAATTAAGCGATGTAAACGACAGATGTACACTACAAGCGAAAGAGTAACCGCGGATACGAGTGATTGTGCCGAAACGTTTGTTATCATTAAACTGCGAGTGTTTATGCATACATAGATATTCCTGAATTAATTCACCTGAATTGATAACCTTTTCTCAATTCGTTTCAATTACTTAAATCGCATTCGAAAGAATTAGTTCCAGAATTTATCAACCCTTCGCACTCGAAAGTTCTCTAGGAATATTCAAGCTCTGATAAGACCTAGACGACATTCTTCGAAACTAACGAGGAAACATTGATGCATACAAATCGTAATAGTAACATATTCAAAACGTTTAAAAATGTGTTCAAACAGTTTACAATTGATATATCGAGTCAACTAACTGAGAGTCACCTTTCGAGTGCAAACGGTTGAACAGTGAAACAATCCAGCAGCCTCTAACGCGTAAGATTCGCAATCTATGTAGTCTATTATCGTTTCAATGTATGCGGAGAAATTTGTGAGACACTGTGAGAAGCGGATCCATTTTGTATCGTTGCTGATAGTACTTTCCACGCGAGTTTTCCGAATTCCAATGATTGTTTGGGTAGCACGAGTCGAGTCTTCTTCCAGTTTACGTACGATCCGGTCACGCGTGAGTTCACGGGTCAACGTGCGGTCGTTTCGCACGCGTTTCGGTTCCCAGCGATGCTAGAAAATTCAAACGGCCCGCGAAAGGGATTAGCGATTCGACGGGGACGTAGAATCTCGCGTCCACTTTTATTTAGGATTAAATTCGCTGTCTCCGTGACGCGCGAGCGTGTCGGCGATGGCTTGTACAAGCTGGACGCGCTGTTTTCGGTAGAAATATTATATTAGACGACGTTTCGTGGCGAATTTTCGTGGATGTTTCCGTTGCTGGTAACGCCTAACGTGTTCCACTTGTACAAGAATCGAGCGACGAGCCTCGCGCGACACGGAGAAACAAAATGGCGTACGAAACGTGTCGGAGACACCATGTTCGTCGAGATATTGTGCCTTCCAGGCGACCGTGGCAGTGTCGAGGGTATCCAGCGGTCGGGTGAAACACAGAAATCAAAAACAGCACGATATTCGAGCGTCTCGTACGCCAGAAGCTGGGCCAAGCAACCCGCGGCGAGCAACGAGGATCGTGGAGAACGTTTCGGTTCACATTGAACGATTGCAACGCTCGTCGGGACCGATTAGGTTCAGATTATGAACAGGTAGAATAGAATCCATCCTGAGAAACGAAGATTTTAGCATGCCAGACGTAGCAACAACGAGCGTATCGCGTTGCTTTGTTATTTGTCATTCGATTTTATAATTTAACACTTGCGGAGGAATGAACTTTGAGATCGAACTTCTATGTTTGGGATACTAAGTTGTAGATAGATGGTTTCAAAGATGATGAATTCTGATTTTCGATTTCATGGGAGCTCTGAGAATTTTCAGGACACTAAAATCCTTGAAGCTTTCAGCGCGTCTGCATGATTCATTTGAATCACGATGAATTCGATCTGGAAGACCGGAAGTACGTGTAATTCGAAGGGTGCACCGCGAGTTGCTTGGCCCCACTGAAAAGTATAATCAAAATGTGTCGATGAAAGGATTCGGTCGACACCTTCCATCAAGTTGTTAGGTATCGTCGACGATACACGAAGTTAGTGTACGGACGATAGATTATAAAAATATAAAGAGTATTGTACTTATAATAACGGAGGAACGAAATCGCGCGACGAAGTACATAAAATTATCTAGTAGAATTTTAGGCGACACGTATTGCCGCGCGGAGAAACGTATAAATAAAAGTGAAATAAACAAATAAATAAATAAATAAATAAATAAATATTCCGCAAGCAGGAATTCGAGGGGCCGAGAATACCCTTTCAAGACTTTATCAAAGGGATTACACGGTACTTTGTATTCAGAACTCGCTCGCCTAAGGAAACATTAATCACTGTAATTATAAAAACAAAGAAGAAACGAGGATATCGCGATCTTAGTACTATCAATGCACGCAGCTAACGATCGGAATCAAACAAACTCACAAGCTAAGATCATAGATGATAAGAGTGTATAGCCAACCGAAATTTTTTATATAACCATTTTAACGTGTATACCTATCAAATTTATAGAGACTTTGGAACATTTTCGAATCACTTATAGACAAATCATGTTTTCAACATCTGGATTGAATTTTTTCTCGAAGATTATTCTTACAATCATCGGAATTACTTTATAATCATTTATGAGAACAGAAGGGACTCGAGATTTAATAATGCATACTTGGCCAGACTTTATCTCAACAATAACCGCAATTAGACGATTGTTTTAATTCTGTAACATTTCAATTTCACGGTCTTCACTTTCATTTATAATTTAATTTCAAACATACATTTATATACATTAAAAATACTTAAAGATTTTTAATCTTTACTGGTAGATGCAGTTGATAATATATTCAATTAAATCAAATCTTCCTCAAATTATTTTAACTCTTTAAATTCTAGAAAATAATGATTTCAATAGCTTCAGCCGACGACTTTGAATTCTTAAGAAATACTCGGCGTAAAATACATAGAATTTTCTTTTCATTATTATATTCTTAATTTTTCCTTTCCACATTAAAGAATTTCTTGCTGCAATTTGGCCAGGTGTGAAATAATATAAAACGATAACGAGTAAAACGATTTTTCCCTGTACAAGGCGAGGCGTTCCACTTATAGAGGTCGCGATATTATATTGCACAATCTAATTGTAGTTAGGAACTTCCATTCCATTCGATTTCGATTACGTTGAAACTTCATTACTCGAGCGTTTCTTTTCGTTGAAAGAAGAAGGTAGCTTAAAACGGAGACTCGAACTTGAAACACCGGAGACTGTTCGCGTGAATCTACTGCACGGAATTCAGGGGAGAGAAAGTTTCGTAATCGAAACGTTCGGATTCGAAGAGGTAAAAAGCGAGTTTTTTACGAGATACTTTTTGACCGAGTTCTGAATCCCCGTGTCGGCGTTCGCGAGCCGCGTTGATCGATCGATCGGTACATCGACTTGACAGAATTAATGCCGGCTACCCTGTACCTATCATGGGACCAAATCAAAAGCGAAGCTTTTATTTCACGTTCACCGTCGCGCTTGCGTACCACGTATTGTCGCGCCGTTAAGGAAACCATTCCCTCGTTCTGTTCGTTCGGAATCAGAGGCGAGGATCCACACTGAACATCGTAATGTTCCTCTTGAATCGTTCTGTTAACCCCTTAACGCCGATTCTATAGAAATTTCGATGTAACTGTTCGTTTGTCATTTCTCTTTCTATCTTGTTCAGTCAATGTAAACATCGTTTTTTGATTAGAAAACTGATTACGTTGTGAACAAAAATACACTCGAGGAAAGAGTTGAGCAAAGAATCTTGGGGAACTCCGCGTTACAGCGTTGATCGTGAAAGATGGTAGTTAAGAGGTTGAAATCGGTTGGAAATAATTGTATCGGTTCTGGCTCTTGGAACCATTATGGAGAACCGAGATAGAGTTATAAGTAGGGATTGTGAAGGTTCTAGAAGATCGGAACTTTGTGAGTCGCTCAGAAGCTAATGTAGTGAAGTCTAGAAAATTGAGAATATCGTTTTGGCTTCTGGAATTATTGTGTAATGTATTCAGAAGCTATAAGAAGAATGATTCTTGTGAATCCAAGTGAAATCTTGGATAATTAGAAAAAATATTATTTATTTCGTTAAAATTGATGAAAATCGCATTGGCTTCTGAGAGATTTGTACGATAGTTTCAAACGGTTATTTCTGGAAGCTTTTCAATCCTGATTTTCGCTGAAGATGCACAGACGAAGCTCGCGCAGTCGCCAGTTCGCACTTTTCTCGGGAACGATAATCGCAAGGTGACCAAACGCCGTGTACTGACATAAGAAATTCATAATATATTCCGGAGGTAACGCGTTATTTAACTCTTACGTCAACAACCGGGTTGACTTGTGTTCGGATGAGATTACATTGATTTACATTTCTTCCTTTCAAATCAACTTTTATAATGTTGTTTCAACACCTGCGGCCATTAGTCGCGTTTAACATTCAACAATCTCAATAAGTGAATTCTGTGAATTCTATGAAGATCATTTGATTACAATTTGTTACATTAGTCATTTACTGACGATCGTTTCTTGTTGTTAAAAATGTTCTCGTTCGTTACATTTGATTCTCCTTTGAATTGCATAGAAAATATAGACACTACAGAATGAATGATCGTTGAATTGTGAAAAATTTTGGTTACCGGCGTAGGAGTTAAAATTCCGTATGCAATAACATATACGGCGATATCATAGTAAAAATTGAACAATAAATATGGCGGTTCAACCGACGATCCATCCGTCGCGGGACGCGTTAAACGATGAATCACGGAGTCATGAGGAACATCACGCTGTTCGGCGTGACGTAACGTTCTGTCGGGCAGACAGCTTGAACACTGTTCAATTTAAGAAGAGTAAAACGTTGAAGTTTATAATTATTATTGTCCGTAGGCAACACCTTCGACGGGTGCGCGTTCGTTTTCTTCTTATCGGACGAGCGAACACGTCCGGGAAACACGAGAATGATGTATAATGCTGTGATTTGTTTTAAAAAAGAAAACGACAAAAAAAATGGGAAACTCGAACGACGTAGTTATAGAGGAACGATTATTATTGTAAACGCGTCTGGCTGATGACGAGTTGTGATAGAAACCGCGCAAGGACATTTTAACGATGCACGCGTAGAACCGTTTGTGATTGAACGATCGACCGTCAGTTGTCTTCGCTTTTCGCATCGTGAACGACGAACATTTAACATAAAACAGAACTTTCAACATTTCTGATCTAATTGCTGAGTTCTTCCATCAACTTTGATTCTAATTCGCTGTTCGTCAACCGATCGAAGCTATAAACGAAGCTTATAGAAAGAGACTCATAACTAGCTTAACCCTAAAACTACCGATCAATTGGAATAATTGATCTCCAATTTTTTATGAAGACCAGAACAATACGTTTCTTGCGATTCGAAGGATCTAGTCTTGTATCGGATACAAAGATTTCATTTAAAATCTGTCGCAGACGCCTTTGTAATTTGAATACTTGCGAAGAATTCTGAGAGTCAAATTTGACTCGTCTACATTAGTGTTAAGTCGTGAATGAACACATTGAGAATATTTAGAAATCCGAGTTACAAAAATTCAAACGGAAACAAGGATCGTCGTGTAACAGTGTCAAATCGCTATAAACACGTTCTACGATCGAAAAGCGAAAGCAAACGCATAGCAACGAACATTTCATCGTTAGAGACACATCGCGCCACGCGAAGAAAGGAACCTCGTCCCCCGAAATTCGATTCCTACGACGAGTACACTGGTATAACGCGTTGATTACTTGGAAATTTTAACTAATTTTGTTACGTTCATCGATCTATCTTGTTGGCGGCGGAGACTGTGTAATATAATAGATGAAACGAGCAGGACGTCTCGCGGTTGTCGACACTGAACCTACCAGACGGCTGGTAATCGCCGATTTCTTTTTGTACGGTTATTCGAAGGGTGATCGAACGCTTCTCTGGCAAGTTGCCGAGGAAATCGGTTCGGTAACGCGCGGACTGAACGATTCGAAGTTTCAATAGATCCGTTCGTCGAGTTTCCGGGAGGAAATGAAATAACGTCGATTCGGCTGTTCGGTAGAGTTTCAGTGTTAACGACGCGACGACGGGAGAACCCGGCGTCTCATCATCGGCAACGACGTTTTCGAGATTATGCGATTGTGATAAGATCGTCGGTTAACGCGTTCACTGCTAAGAACGTCAGCGTCTCACTTGTATCGCGCTATTCTTTCTATACCGACGATGAAAATTATTAATTAGTATCGCGATTACGTTATTATCTTGTTATCGGATTGGCGCAAAAATGACGTTTCTCGGTTGATAAACGAATTGTTTTCCATTAGAACATGCGTATAAAGGACATTTCTTCCTTCGTTTTCGTTTAGCTAGCGAACGGTTGACTTCTTCCTTATTTCTTATGACAAGAAAACGTTGAATCTTTCGCATCGACTCAATATTTACGCAATTGGATGATTCATCGGTTATTCTACAGGTTGCAATTAACCCTTTGAGGGTTGAAAGAGTAATAAATCAGCACGCAGTTTCCTTGGTTTCTATTAATTAAGCGTATAATTTAGCTTCATCTGTTGACGGTTTCGTATATTTCAAAGGATCTTCGTCCGCAAAGGGCTAGTGGTTTCTCGTAATTTGGCAGTAAACGCGTTAGGGAACGGAGAAACGACGCCGAGTGGTACACCTATGCGTATATTAAACACGTAAACGACTTTCTGTCTAATTATTAGCGACTTATTAACCCTAATCGGTAGATAAAGTGCGCGCCCGCGCGGCCGCGCTGAAGAACCGGAGGAGCGACACGGTAGACGCGTTTTCGGGATGACGAGACGGTGTATCGTATCATTCGTCCACGGCTCGATGACTGTGTCGAGAAGCGAGTCTAATCGGTTAACTTTTATTTCATCTTCGGTTCCAATTTGTCGTTCGTCGATACAGTTACACGTAACTAAGCCGAAACTGTTAGGTCTGATGGAAAGTTCTGTTCGATGTCGTCGAAAGTTTACAAAGATGAGTCGCTCTACAGAAATTAGTCGTTAGTAACTATGGAAATTCTATTGTTCGGCAAATGTTAACCCTATAGTAATTAATGATTTATATCAACTATAATCGATACAACTATGTACTCTGCCATTAACGATTTTGTCAAGAAATCGACAAATTTTGAGCACATTCTATACCAACGTTTGCTCTAAAGTATGATTGGTAACAGAAGAATAATGCTTAATTTGAATTCAAAGGAATCGAGTGACATCGATTGTTAAATTCTCGTTAGAATAGCCATTGGTCTAACATGATATGACAAAACAAAGGGTTGATAAGAATTTTGAGCACATTCTACACTAACGTTTACTCTAAAGTATGATTAGTAACAGAAGAATAATGCGTAATTTGAATTCGAAGGAATCGAGTGACATCGATTCTTGTCACAACGGTGATACGAAAAAAAGGGTTGACGAACGTATCGAAAACGTGTTATTCTCTTTTAATCGAAGTGGAACAGTTTCCGACAGACCTGGCACGAAGCTAATAACGAGCGACTCCTCTCGCTCAGCTAGCCATCGAGTCGCGGACGCACGGTACTTGTGCGCGTCCTCTTAGTTCTGCAAGTGCCAACGTCGGTGTTAAATGAAAAAACCAAAAAAATGAAAAAAAGAAAAGAAAAGTCCTTCTAAAGGCTCGTGTTTTATTGTATCGAACGACGAAGCGTGTTTACCGCGAGAATGGAGCCGTGGCTCTCGAGTAGGATGTTAGACGAGGCCGACGGGTCGCGGGATGGCGAAAACGGATGAAACGCGGAGGCATACGCCTTGAAACATGCGGCGATTATTATTATCAACGGGTTTCAATCTTCCTTATCGTTCCTTCAACAGCAACGTGGCTCGTAGAACCTGGAAAGACTCGAACCCATCGCTAGGAGCGATGGGTTCGAGTCCTTTCCAATCCATTCGAGAGCAGCAAGTCTCGTAAACCTCGGAAAATTCAAACCTATCGCTGAGAGCGATGAGTCTTTTTCACTTTTCGTTTGAAACGTGCATCGAGGAACCTCGGAAGATTGAGACTCATCGCCGCGTTTCAACGCGCAGGCCTCAACGAAGAATGTTTTCGTTCGTGCGGAGTGTATATTGGTAATGTAAAGCTGGTGTATTATTGAGCTTAAAATGTGAAAAAGGAAGGGACGCTCGTCCTTCGATCGGACGCGATTTGTTCGACGGGGATGGGGCCCGACAGGTGAAACGGGAGAATGTTAAGGGCCACGTGTGAGTCCCATCCGAGTGGAGCGTAAGCAAACGTAAACGAGAAAATAAACGGATATCTATGCGACAGTCGAACATCACTTGGTTTCTCATGGTTTCGTTCTTTCTCCTCAGTTACACCCGAAGACTTACGTGCCCTCTCCCGTTCTGTTTCCCTTCTCCGCGAGATCCTGCGGTATCCTCGGCGCCTCCGCCGTTCACAGGATCACAGGGAACAGAGAAATACTGTCGCGAATCGTTCCCGAGGAGTGTTGCTGGTTCGCCGGACAGACGAGACGCGGAGGAGCCAGGACGAATAATTTTGTGGTGAGTAACGATGGTCTTTAACGCCGACTCGATCGCGAACTTTGTCAGAAGGTGAACATTTCTGTGGGGTCAGAAACAGAGATGTATCGTCTGAAATGTAGTACTGATTATCGGAATTTCAATTATTGTGGACACTGAAATTGAAGCGGAAACCTTCACTCGGAGAATTAGCTTCGAATGTTTATGGACAGTTGAATAATTGAGATATAGAATCTTCGAGACACTTGTTGAACTAATTAAGGTTTGTATGTTCTTAATCTTTCAGTTGAATTTGAAACGATTTTAGCTGAAAGAAATAACATGTTAAGCTATGAAAATCTTAAGCGTTTTTCTGTAGCTTTTCTTTTGTAACATAGAAAAGCAGGAACAATTAATTATTTGGCGTTAAAATGTTTGCGTTACACTATTACCAACTTCTAGTCATTCGAAAGCAATTCAGAACTTGTGTTAAGTTTTAGTTCCGATGATTTAGTTACGTTAACTGTCGCGCACATTTCTCACGATTACGTTTCGAACACTGAATTATGCATCTTTCATCTTTCACGTTGCACCATAGAAATGCACCGCATTCGTGGATTGTTCGCACCGCGCAACGGACAAAGAATGGTTCCCTCGCAATGGTCCATTGGTACATCCGTCGGTGCAAGCCTTGCTCCGTCAGAAGGACAATTATGAAAGTTTCGGGAACGGACGAGGTAATGAGAATTACATAGTAATCAACGCGGGAAGTTCCAACAGTAACGATGGTCCCATGGAAGACGAAGTCGAGAACGAAACAGGGAAGCAAACAAACCGGAAGCTCGAAGAGGAAGATTCACCGAAACGTTCAAACGTTTTCCCTGCGAAACAGGATGACAATATTTGAGAAAGCAGCTTCTAAAAAATAGCTTGATTTGTTTCGCGTTATTTGAACGCTTTGGTTATTATTATTGTTCCACTGCGATTTTCAAACGTGTTTCTTTCCTGTAGATAATTCTGTTGAAGCTCTAAACGTCGCCATAATGGCGCCCTCGAGCTTCGACATTTCAATTCGAAAGCAAAAGAATAATTTCACTATTCAAAAAACAAGAGATTAATATTTTCTTTTCTTTAGTATCTAAGACTTCCATGCGTAGCTCAGTTTCTTTATCAACGTCTCCAAAAGTTTAATTCTCGTCCGTGAAGGGTTAACCCTTTGCGCTCCTATGTTAGTTTTGTTCTCAGGTGTGAGTCTTTGTCAAGATCTTTTTAAATAGATTATATGATTATGTTACTTTCAATATTATTAGTAAGAAGAATCGTTCATACTGCTCTCTACAAACTAAGTATTGTTTAAAATTAATTTCAAATAGAATATCCTAATAATACAGAGTTATTGAGGAAAGAATGCAAAGGAAATTCGGAGTACAAAGAGTTAACCCTTTGAGGTGACTCAGTCACCATTTGATTCGATATAACAAAATTACAAAGTGTTATATATAATATTAAATATTGTATAATGCATCAATACGTGAAATCTTTATATAAAACAGCTTTGTTTCTTAACACTAAAACTAGCAAGCAGATACATTGACTAATTCTTCTATAGAGACTACAATAGTGCATCTATTCTACGTCAATTTCTTTAATAATTTCAGAAAAATATCATCTTTGTAATAATTGCAAAAAAGAAGGAATCAGGAATGCATTTTGACCTGTCCAGTTAAATTAACTTGCTGAAATTCTTCTATAGAGACAACAATAGTGCATCTATTCTACGTCAGTTTCTTTAATAATTTCAGAAAAACATCTATCTCTGTAATAATTGCAAAAAAGAAGAAATCAGGCATGCATTTTGACCCGTCCAGTAGTTTTAGCGTTAATTTACGTGTGTGTTCTGATTAGTGTCTCAAATGTCGTCTATGTTTCATCAGAAAGTGTCGAATGTTTCTAGCGAAAAGCTTCCGAGTGCAAAGGGTTAATAGACACAGGAGAAACGGTGATCGACGCACAGTTGCGATTCCGTTTCTCGTCAACGGTGGCAAGGGCAATAAAACGGACCCTTACCCCGAAAATCTTGCGCTACGGCTGATCCGTGGTTCGTCAGTCGTTTATGATACGGATATCCCGTCCGACACTACCTGCCGGTTAGGTAGCTGCACGCCGGACCGATTGGGAGGTCCACGACAGTTTCGTTTTATCGCGTTTGAAGAACGCCGCCTCCTGTTGGTCCCATCCATAATAAACATCCACGATTACAATCCGCTTTGATAAACCATCGACCGCCCGGGACCGACCGGTTTTTGTTCCTCTGTTTACAAGTTGCATTCTGCCGGCGCAATCCGCCGGGAGAACAACGGAAACGATTAATTCGTTTTATTGGCAACGGACCATTAAACTGACCGACGCCGACGTTCTCTTCCTATCTTCGCGTTTTTTTTGTTTTTTTTTTAATTTTTTCTCCATTTTCTTTCGAATATTTGGGCAACCGAGCCCGCAAACAAACTGTTATCGACGATACCGAGCGTGCAACCGTTCGTCGAGCTGGGTGAAGTGAAACGACCGGAGGCTGGTATTATTCGGTAGGACCCCCATAACGCCATCAATGCTTTCGCGATCACGCGTGGGTAAAACGAGGCGAACTGGATTAGTTCAGATTTAAGAGAAACTGATAGAACTTGGAATCGATAGCTTTTGTATAGATTTCTTGTTAATATTCAGCTTCAATGTCAGTAGAGGATTATTGAGAAAGTAGAGAAACTGAGGAAGTATAAATTAATGGAGAAATTTGTATGAGAATTCAAACAGTTACATAAAATACGTTTTATAATGATCGTTCAATTTTCCATTTAAAGGCACATTTTAAAAATCTACAACTGTTGCATCGGTTTTCTATGACGCTGACGGAACTACACATACAGATAGGAGTATTTCGACCGAGATACCAATAGTGCCATTCATTTTCATCTAACAGCGGATTTCTGGGAACCTACGCGCATCTCCAAGAATCTCAACGGAAGAGTGCAACTCAGAAAATACCTGTAAGTCACAATCCTTCCATAAAGGATACTTAAAAAAATCTAAAACACTTTCTGTTGCATAAAACATGACTCCCAAGGATAAAATCAAGTTTAAAAATTTGTTTAGCGTGCCTACGCCGTTACCAATGTAAGTTTGCCGAGCGGTACCAGTGATTTACCATTTATATTACTCTATCCTACAAATCTCCTCGTTCCTCCGGTAATCTCTCCCCATAATTCCGTTTCAGATTCGAGCAACGATTCCATCGGATTCAGAGAGGCTCGCTAATAACCGAGAGTGCACGGTCGACCGTTGAGCAAATCGCCGGATCCCGATGTTACACGCCGAGACGCGGAGGACTCCGTTACGTCTCCGCGGCACCGATATCGCGACTTTTCCCTCAGACGAAATTACTAGGACAAATATCGGCCAGGGCTGAATGGTTACTTTGCCAGCCGAAACTCGCACGCGATGGTAAATAAGAAACGGTCCTGGTCAAATATCTACTCGCGATACATCGGCGAGCCAGCCGGACGTAACTTGCTGTTGATTTTTGTCATTTGACTCGGAACGGTCAGTCCAGTCTATCCGTCGAACGGTTAACCGTTCTCGCCTGCAGCTGCGGTGCTCCACCGCGGCTAGGAACCGTTTTACCTTAACCCGTTGACCCTATCACCGCCGAAACCGCCGAGCGGGCGAACGTGTTGCCGTCGTATCAACCTTTCCCGCGGACGTTCTCGCGAAGGATGCGACGAGAACCGAAGAAAAACTGATTCGCGTTCGCTACTTTTCGAGCTAGACATTCCTCGCGACTCGATGAGTAACTGTGTTCAAAATTATTCTTATGATTTTGTATTATATAATGTAATCTAATGACAGTTGACGACGATGGAATCTTTTGAGAGTTGGATCAGACTGGCTGAGCGACAGCCTTGTCTCGAGACTGTATCGCGGTAGTAGTGAAAGCGACAGTGAAACCAGTTGGATAAAGGGAAATAGTCTAGTCCACATAGTTTCTTGTAACTGATTATATCTGTTTATACTAGTTTCTTTCGCGACGAGTGTGAACACTCGATCCAATTCTCGACTCGGAGATGGAAACACGAGCCACGGTACGTACGAAACACGAGCACAGTGGATCCTAGCGGCACAGTATTCAAGTAAAATCATTTAATTACCCATCAACACGTTTCCGTCGCAAGTCTCACCGTCGCAACTTCCAGGTCCCCGAAGCGCACATCCAGCACTGTCATCGTCCCCAGAACCACCGAAACCAGCTCCAATAGACCAGTATCACTGAAGAATCCTTCTAAACGCGACCGTCCGTTTCTCTACCGATGCACTTCGCCAGGCGAGACCAAGGAGAGGACCCGAAAAAAAGGAAAACCCAAAAAAAGAAACATATCGAAACACCGCGAAGATTAAAAGCCCCGGACAAGCTGCGAGCGAGCAAACAAATCATAACGACCCTGCGATAGAAAGAGAGAGCGCGAGTCGAGCCGATCGAGGGATCGTGAAAGCTTGGAGATCGTAGCGCGCGGTACGAGCGAGTAGCAAGCTCGTGCGACTGTCGGCGTGGGCGGACTGGCGGCCCTCGTGGTCTCCGGAGGATCGACCAACCGACGCGGAATCGTAAAATGGTACCGTGCATGGATTGGCCGGTCGGCCGGCGGATAGGCGGCGACCGTTGTCCTCGATCGTGGAAAGGAGAAAAGGATCGTGGCCGCCAGTGGAGACCGCGTCCGCCGTGTCCAGCGTGGCCGGCGACCAATCCTAGCGAGTCCAAGCCGGCAGCCGAACGGGGGCCCGCCATGTTGCGCCGTGCGCCTTCCTAATTTGGACCTTTAATTAGCACCTCCGCGATGGTACACGGCGGCGGGGGTACCGTCCCGCCGGGCATCGATTGGACGGTGCCCGGCGGGTACCATCGTGGGACAGAGGCAGGAACAGGGATGTCCGACAGAGACGATGATATGTCGGCAGTCAGTCCTCGGCTCGTCTTCGCCGACTAGTGTGAAATATCGCGCCCAAGTGTTACGAGCACGGCCACGCGGACCACGGGACCGAACAAGTCGCTCCGGAAGGAATACGCCCGCTGGCCGACGCGCTCTCTCCTCCGTCCTTCTCGCGCGCGACCGCCCTGCCGGTGTTTCTTCCTTTCTCACGTTCCTCTCGTTTCTCTCCTTTTCTTTCTCTCCCCTTCGGCAACCGGGCAATCGTTAATTCGATCGCGCCGGCTGGATCGATGCCGATCGCGGCCAGTTTCCACCCCCTTCCGTTCCGCGCTCGCTTGTTGCTTCCTCTTCGGGGTCGGGGAGCAGCCTCTAAACTGTGAAGTGATCGGAAGTTCCGATTGATTGCTGAAGTTTGCTGAACCATTGTTTCGCGTGATCCTCTTGATCGCGGAATTCTGGATTGTGGATGTTGACCGATGTATGTTGGGCAGTCTGTTGTGGTTCTTGGTTCCTTGGATCTTCGGAGCTCAGAGATTAAGTTTTGAGGTGCGAGAGGATCGAGATCGGTTTCGGTTGGTGATAGAGGGTAAGAGGATAACGAGGTACTGGGTGGACGGTTCGTGCGCGAGAGGAAGAAGGAAAGTGTTAATCATCGTGAGCACAGGATAATTGCCAGGCGAAGGTCGTGGAATCGCTAAGTTTCAACCCCTTCTTTCTTGCTCGCTCTGAAACTGAGGATAAGGACTTCCATCGGTGAAGTGCCTGGGAACTATCTGTGAAACAGAGGAAAAAGATTCGATAGAATATTGTAACGTTTCTTTTAAAGAGACACTTCAGATTTTCTACTGTGAAAGAATCATTCAAGGGATCTTGAGATTCATCTTAGTATCTTCTTAGAGGTTCTTCTACGCGACGGAAGATTGTACTATCGATAGAAGTGATCGAGGACGTGCATGAGAACCTCCTCCGAGTTGCAGCTCGGTTGCAGAGGTAGAAGACACGCAAGGATAGAATCAGAGGACAAAGAAGATGCAGCAGCCAGCGAACAACCCTGGTTCACCGGCGCGTTCTTCCTGTTGCGAAAGAGATCGGGACAGGGAGGTCCACGAGGACCGGGACAGGGAACACGGCAGCGCTAGGAGTAGATCAACGCCAGAAGGAGATCACGAGGAACAGAACGACGAGAGGACAGTGGTTTCCGGGCAGAACCTCAGCAGCATGGCGATCACCGGAAGCCAGAGCCTGCCTCTTTCTTTGTCCCTCGAGGATCGGGATCTGTGGACCAAGTTTCAGTGCCTCACCAACGAAATGATCGTTACCAAAAATGGCAGGTGAGTGAGAGACACTCGTTAGCGTTGCAACAGCAATTGTTGACGAAGAATCGAATGAATGAAATGAATAATATCAAGCGACTCGAACTGAGAGTGGTACTTTGAAGAATTGCTAACAAGTCTGTTACCGATGCATGTGACCCTTTGTTGACGAATGTCGAGGTCAAACTTTCACGTTTGTATTACTGACTTCCAAACAAATGATTTAACTACTTGAAGCAAAAGTACATAGTTTCCTTATTGTACATTATTTAGGCATTCTGTAATTCGGCAGGATCTGCAGGTTTTGTATACTTTAAACAATCTTTGTTGGAAAAGGGTTAACTTATCGAGATGAAGCTATTTATAGAAAGACAATTGAGACTTCGAAATTTTAACTTTTGTTCTACGGCAGTTTTATACGTTGCTAACTGTAAATATGCAGGGTGATTCATAAATACGCGTCGATACGTACAGCTTAGAGAAACATTGGTTTCGTACATTTTTCACTGGTTTTAATGTGTAGATTTCCCCTGAATATTGGCAATTATGAACCACCCTATACATTCGAAACGCTGTGTCACGCGGAAAAATAAAAGGAAATGCTTCTGATTCGAATTGAACGTCGTTGAAAGAAGATCCTGCGATTCCGTGACGTCACTTGTACAGGTCACCCCGTGCGTATTGGGAAATAATTCATTTCGATGCAATGTATTAGCAGTTTAATATTTGAGAACGTCGAAGGATCCGTTGGTCGAAAGATCCGCGGCGAAGACGGCTCGCCGTCGCGCGTAAAAATGACTTAATTAGAGCGGCGGTGTGAACAAGGCAGAAGGTAAAAATAATAGTCCATGTGTACCACTCGGGAGAAGAAAAACAGAGCGCGGAATGGAAAAAGATCATTGCGAAACGTTACTAGAATTTAGATGATTCACGCGTGCCAGCGTTCTGTGCGCGGGATAAAAGGCAACCTGGTACTCTTCCCTTCTTGCCAGTGACCACCTGTGATAGCCATAGAAACCATCAACTTCTTTTAATTTAATATACTATATAACAGATATAAAAATCCATTCTGCTTGAACGAGAATCATTTACGAGTGCCACGTCACTCAAATTTAGGTGACATATTTTCCTTAAACTTCAATATTAATTTCCTGAGCGACTTATCAAGCGAATTTCGTTGGAGAGAACAGAAGGATGCGATTAATAGAACTATCTAAATTATCTAATTTTCTTCTACAAAAGACGCGTTTATTAACACGTTGATAATAATTCCAAAGCATATTCTGTTTCCGTTTGTCTTGCAATATAATAACTGATAACAGAAGAATAATATTCAATTTGAATTGAAAGGAATCGAGTAATAATTATATTTGTTAAATTCGATTTAAAATATTCACCGCGAGTCACGTTATTCAAGGCAAGTTAATCGTAGATCATACGAAGAGGTCAGATTTGAAAAGAATGAGCATTCACTCGGAACAGAGAAACCGGAAACGAGACACGGATCAACCTGTCCAAGGGGAAATCGGTCGTAGCGAGGACGGCGGATCAAAAAATATCCGGTGTGGCTGCCCGTGGCTCGGCTACTTTTACGATTCGTATATTATTAAAAACGATTACGGTTTGTCGACCGAGCAGCTCGCGCGGAGGCAAAGTGTCCGCAGGTACCACCAGCTCGAACGGGAGAAGAGAATGTTTTACGCTGGGTATCCCTGGGCGTCGTAAAGTTTTATTGCAGGCGGCTTCGATTCTTCTCGGCTGATCGGCCTGTTCCCCAGTGTTACTTTCATTAGTGTTTTATAAAATGTTGTTGCTCTCGAGGCCGCCGTGCGGTTCTTTATCATTTTACAAAATATCCGGCGGTAGCTAGGTGCCGGCCGGACCGAGATCTCGGCGCAGATAAAGGGCGTGTATACATAGTTCAGGAGCAGTAGGGACTCGCACGATCAAGAATCTATCTGATACGCTCTCTCCTTTTGTCTTCTGATTTCAGACGAATGTTTCCGGTGGTCAAGGTGGTCGCGCGTGGACTGGAACCGAAAGCGATGTACACTTTGCTCCTTGAGTTCGTCCAAGTGGATCCACACAGGTAGACCAAACACGTTGAACATTTGGTAGCTTCGGGGCTGAGTCTTTGGGATTGACATTTGTGAATCTGACAGTATTTCTCGTTACATTCATTATTTTCTGAAATGTTAACAGTATTATCTGCAACTTACATAAGGAAACATCTTGCATCGATTGTGGTGCAGAATTGTTATTTCTATGGTTTATGTGTTAATACCTTATTCAACATTTTACATTGAATTCTGCGTTGTCAAATGGCGACTGAGAGTCTGTTAAGTCGACTTTTTATAAATTTCAATGGGACAAATAATATTCTTGTTAGTTGTTGAAGGATTTACTCGTTGCTTCGTTTTTTCTAGAAAGCCCTTGCTTTCATAGCTTCTGAACATGTTGTACAATCATTTCAGGAGTTATGATTGTTTAAGAAGCGTACATTGGAGAAATCTATTTATAGATGGAAGTACGTGAATGGTGAATGGGTGCCTGGTGGAAAAGCGGAAGTCGCTCCGCCGAATCCGATATACATACACCCAGAGAGCCCAAATTTCGGATCCCACTGGATGAAGGAGGCAGTGTCGTTCGCCAAAGTGAAGTTGACGAACAAATCCAACGGAAATGGGCAGATAATGCTGAACTCGTTGCACAAGTATGAACCTCGAGTTCATCTGGTTCGTGTGGACGCTGTGGAACAAAGAACGGTGCAATATTATATTTGCCTCTTCCTTTGTGATGATACTTTGCAACGATTTGGAATAATTCAGTTTGTTTTCTTGTACAGGTACTCACTTATCGTTATCCTGAGACCCAGTTCATAGCGGTGACAGCATACCAAAATGAAGAGGTGACGAATTTGAAGATTAAGTACAATCCCTTTGCAAAAGCGTTCCTCGATGCTAAGGAACGTCCTGCTGATCCACAAACATATCCACAATGTAAGTTGACTGTGCGAGGATTGTAGAATGTGGTTGAAGACCCTAAAAATTACCAAGACTCGAGTAATATTGATTGTTTATCTATTCTTTGACATTACGACTTACAGACACAGGCGCTTGGTTTTTGCCACAGTCTACTATGGGATACGAATATAACACGGCAATTGCGGCCGCACAAAATCAAGCGTCGGTGACGGTCAATAATCATCTCTCTAATTCCTGCACCGTTTCTACAGCTGGTCACAGAAATACATGCAGATCTGCACCTTACACTCTGAGACACAAGTACATACAAGATGGTAAGACTTATGGAATAATACCTTAATGGCTCGACTGGCATGGGTCTTGTCTGAAAAGAAGAACTTTGTAATAGTTGCAGTTTATAACTGATAAAACAATGAGATATGATCACTTCTAATTTTTAACCTTCGTTACAGAACAACGTACAGATCCATACAGTCCAGTACAGCTTCTACATTCCACAGCGTATGTAACAGCATCAGGATGGTCACCGCGTAGTCCAGAATCTCTACAGAATTTAAGTCCAGCTTGTTTACCACCTGCTCAAGAATGGCCCACGTCTCCTTCACCATCACCAACTTCATCCTCACATGCAATATTCAGTAGAGGAGTTGTTGGTACATCATCACCAACTACAGCCACAGGATGTGCTCTGTACGTGCCATCAAATCTACCTTCGGTCCCTCAAGAACATGGTCACTGTACTGATGCCTCAGCCTGGATACATCCCAGCACCCTCTCAGAACAACAGCAGCAACAACAACAACCTTATTTAAACTTGAATCTACATTTGCACCACCAAATGTCATCGTACACTTCGGTTCCACACAGCAATCTTCATCATTCTTTACATCCAAATGGCACAGACACAGTTCCTCCGGTTGACGAGTACGTCCACGAGTATCAAGCGTCTCCTGTTCAATCCACAACACCTGACCATCATCCTCAACATCATCATCCTCAAATGTTACACTTACAACCGATTCAACAGACTGGAACGGTATCTCCTGTCAGTGTAGAATATGACACTCCTCCAAAAGAACATCATATACCAGTGAGTTATTCTGATCAGAATACGGATACATTAAATGATGTGCAGCCTGACGAGAATCGAAGATATTTGACAACGGTCATTGACAGACATCATCGACCAGAATCAGACATTGCGGCTAATGACCATCAAACAACCGCTTGGACACCGTTGACTCCGCCACCAGCTCCACAAACAACAGCAATTTGATTTAAGCATGTGATACAGTTAGTTTTAATTATACTGAATTGTTGCTACTTCATGATTTCTACACTTATTCTGATAGCTAGATGATTAGATAAATATGAAACGAAGAACTACCGTAAGTATGAAGATGTGTCCACATAGGTGCAATATGAAAATAAATATTTAAAATTGAATGGTTCGTAACAAAAATTAAGCCCAAAAAGTTGAAAGAAAGTTAAAATCGTCGAGCTCGTTAAATTCCAAGAATACACGAAATGTTTCTGAGAAAAAATAAAAATTTGTTGATAACCACTGTCTTTGTTACAAACCTTTCAATTATTGATCAATTAAAAGATGCGCGTTAACGTTTGTATCAAGATTAATCAAACAGATTGCTGATTTCGCTTAGCAAGCTGTTGAAATACATAACTGAAGTATTTCATAATCGTTAAATTGATATCAATTCAATTTCGATTTCCAAGAAATCAAATCCGTCCTAAGATAGTGTCTTAATACTTTTAAATGATATGTATCGGATAATATAATCATTACAATAAAGTATACTGAACACGCATACATGGTGTCTTCCTCAAAGTTCACAGAAGTGCAAACAAATGATGGAACAATTTGCTCATAAAACATACACTATTAGTTGCTCAATGCCAAAATAAACGCACTCTTACATTTAGTTCATAATAATTTATTACAATTTATATCCAAATATAAATTTGTAATTGTTACATATACAATAATTAATTTATATTAAATAGCAACGAAGTTCTTAAAAAGCATCAAGAATTTTAATAAATTATATATTTATAATATAATTATGAAATGGTACAACTGAAACGCACTACATATAAAATATTATTCGTTTTTCAAAAAATATGTAGATACTATTCCTTTCTAAACATATCTTCGAATTAACTGATATCCAATCTTCCATAAAAACATTATATCCAAATTTTATTTTTTTTATATCTGTACAAATTAGTGATATATATATATATAAGTTTCTAAACAATGGTTATTCATTAACCAAACCAATGATTACCCATACACTCTCTTGTCCACTGTGTTTGACAAACCCAACACCAGTGATATCCACAGCCAGCTCTTGTACAAACCATATGCATACATCCTCCTAAAAAATATATTTTATTAAACTGGAACTATTAATTAATCTCATATTATTAATCTATTCTGCGATATTATAAGTACTTACCATCTCTTTCAGTTGGTGTCCTGCATTTTGGACATGGTTTTGTTGATATCTGTATAGTCTTTTTGCTGGCTTCATCCCATTTTGCCTAGAAAAAATATTATAGAATAAATCGTCTAATCATAAAATGAATAGAAACTAAATAGTATGATTTTAGCTACATCTTTAGCTCTTTGTGGGTCCACAGAATATCCACCAGAATTTTGTGTTGCATTAGAAGATGCATATGGCTGTGATTCACATTCCCCTACATGGAACCCTTGTAAACATCTTCTGCAGAAAACATACTAAAGGTACAGAAAATAATATTTTTATTGAGAGCTTTTATGTCCTATCAAATGTTTTATATATATATATATACATATACACGTACCCCACAGCCTCCAATGCACTGTATTTTCCTACATTCTTCATTATCACTACCATCATCCTCTGTAGCTGGTATAATTCCCATCCCACAATCTGGTCTTGGACAAAGAAGACCACCAACACGTAAAACATATTCTTCTGTACTAAATCTCTGATACTGTTCGTACTAAGTAATATGTATATATAAATAGTAAGTATTCAAAGAATTTTCAATGTTTATGTATGCTTCATGAAGTACCTGTTCCGGAGTAAGTAGGTGAAAATGATGAACTTCAGGAATAAGTGAATCTGGGCATCCTGCTGGACATGGAAGTGTATAATATCCTTTAGCCTCATCAAATTGGAACTGACGTTCTCTTAAGCGAACTGAACAATAATCTTTGAAGCAATCAAGACAAGTTACATGCCCTGCCTCACATGGAAAGACCAATACTGTATCTCTATAATAATGTAATTTTTGTTAAAAGACATGAGAATGTCATATATATTATACAGAATATAATAATCACCTAATGTCTGTACATGCTAAGCAAGGAATTTTTCTTAAGTTTGGTTTTACAAGGTAGAGTGGAACTGCTTCATCTTGTTCTCCAAGGCTAGCATGGTTTGCACATTTAAAATAAAAATGCGCATATAAAACTTGAGTTTCAATATCATCAGAAATTGTTGTAGGTGCAGGACATAAGTCGTTTTCACAGTGAACTGTTATTCTTCGTGGCGAGAGTACATCAGGCCAACTCTGAGGGTCTCTATCTACAGTAACAGCTCCGCTATTACAGGTAGCACATTTCACTCTCAATTTTCCTGTTGTGACTGCTTTACAAGGACTTGAACAAAATACAAAGAAATGTGCTCGACTCTCCTGATATTCTACAAATGATTATAACATAATACTTTTATTATATAATATTAATTGATGGTACTTAAAATAACTTATCTTAATAAATATACACATCAACTATTTGTTTACCCTTTAAAAGGCTACGATAATTCTACCTTCCTTAGGTGAATTCTCTTGGAGATCTGAATCATCTAGAGGTAAATCACTTAAAGTTTCATTCAATGGTTTTCCACCACTATCATTGAATTCAGATGTTTCTGAAGATTCGTTGATAGTACTTGTATCTTTACTTCTGTTCAATCGTTGATGTGGAGTACGAATAGCATGTAAAATACTCTGTTGCCCTAAATCGCATTCCTGCAATAACACAAGATAAATGTTGCAGACAATAAAATATAGAAACAAGGAAACATTCATTGCATCTACACTACGATGAACATAGAAATCAGAGCCAGGTGAGGTTAATATACCTAACTTAATCTTGCTATGTAAAAACAAATTGTCACATATGCTAACATATAATATATGCACACTTACTTCTATTATTGTTGAGTCGTGCAGCTCTTTCCCTGCAAATATAATCTTTATGTCTCTGGGTGATGTACCCATTTGAGGGGCCACTATTTCTTTCACGTTCTTTATATCCCATTTTGGATCTAGATCAACAGCAAGAGTATTCCCAGTATTCGTTTTCACATATATACTGAGTGAATTGGATATTCTACGCTTTCCGAACCAAATTAACTGTAACATGCTCAAAAGCACATTCCTTATGAAGTCGAAAACAATGTTCATACTGAATATTGTGTTTGTCTTTTATCTCACAGTCAGTGTCTAAAGAAAGAGAAAGACAGAAAAATCGAACAGAGACAGTAGATACTATAACTGCGCTTCCTGTTAATTAAAAACCACTGTGTTTCGATTCAGGCACATTTAACAAGATATAATTAAACTTTGATGGTATGATATCCGCGACATCTTTGGTCCATTGGATAACTAAAGTCTTCCGGGAAACAATTTGAAAGGAAGGTAAAACAGTTCATTTTCATTTAACAAATAATCTTTTATTAAAACAATAATTCTCTTTCTATGGAACAACAATAATATAAACATAATATCAACATAATATAAACATAATATAATATAAATAATGCACCATATAATCAAAAAATGTTCCGTAATAACAGTTACGAAAAAATCTTTCACCAATAAATAAAGCGAATTGATTCACAGCTTGAAAAATACTAAAATTAATACTGTAAAATATGGAATACGAATAATTTTTAATTTATCAACTATAAATATTTCGTATTCTATATTTTATAGTATCAATTTTTGTATTCTTCAAGTCACGAATCAATTCGTTTATCAAAATAAATTCAATTCAATTAACAAATCACTTCGCAGTGTCAATTCGCTTTATTTTATAACGCGAATCGATTAATGTTTCAACAGACCTTATCTTAGGTTTATTTTCTTCCACCGTTTTTTTTCTTTTTGCATGCTGGATTTCAGGACTCCTGTTTAGCTCGTATTCTCTTTTCCGTAAAATCCTTTTCATCTTAAATATAGATTCTTGATCCGAATCTTGATCCGAATCTTGATCGACTTTGTGTTGAATTTGTGTTCTTTGTAATTCGTCGCCTGACGAATTTATGCGTCTTGTTATTGACCAAACATTATGTTTTCTTTTCTTGCCTTTCTCTTCTCGCTTTTTGTTTATTTTTTCCTCATTTTGCTTCTGCAACCTACACTTCTGAAGGTACTGATTCAGAGTCATCTTCCGAGCCCCCGTTACTTTGTCTCTTTTGAAATCTTTATCTTCGGATTCAGGAAACTTGTGAGGATCGTATTTCCTAATCCATTTCTTCTGAGCACGATCAAAGTGTCCTCGCGTGACGCTCATACCTTCTGGTACCTTATATTCCGGCCATAAAGGCTTCGTTTTCCAGTCTTCATCGTCCTCGTCCTCAGAATCCGTGTCTAGTCATAATAAATAGTTTAATTTCAAATCAACCTTAATTAAATGAATTTGATTTCTTAGCTGTTCGCGTTGTTTACTCGCGTTACCTTTTTGTTTCGTCGGTTTCTTTGTAGAAGACGGATTGACCCACTGCCTCATCTCTTTAGGATTTTTCGCCACAAGATCATCCCAAAGTATATCAGCCAGAGTTGTGGTAGGAAACGTTACATCGTCCAATAACTGTTTAGGCCTGTCAGTCATTATAATCGGCTTCGGTTTTCGTCGCTCATTTCTGTTGACGTATTTCTTCACTGCATTCTCCTTTCCTGAAATTTCATTATAATTAATATTGTGCAGCATTAACCCCTTGACTTAGAATATTGTGTCAGACTCGCGAGGAAAATTTTCAACTGAATTTAAGAAATCTAAATACTATTTACTAATTTCTTTTAAATTCAAATTAAATATTACTATAGCCGTGACCATTAATTTCAAGTAAATAGCTTTGTTACTACGATCAGGTAGAACCTGTTTGTAAAAGATTTCTTTGCTTCACTGAAAAGGATCAATGAAGAGGATTTAAACGAATCCTAGATGTTTGGGGGATTAAAGAAGAACTAGCAATTACTGAACGTCCGGTTTTCCTCCTCGTCTTCACTGATAGCAACAATAGGAGTTCGGAATCTGGGAAGATCCACCGTAGCCAAGGGCTCCACGTGATCCTTGATCTTCTCCGGACTCCTATTGTCAGTATCCCAGCGAAGAGATCGACGAACAGATGGGTCGAAGGAAAAATCATAGAAATGTTGGGCTTCACGGACATGTTCCGGGGAATCATAATCTGAGAATAGTCTCGGTGAAGTCTTCGTGTCCGGCTGTACATTTTCCTTCTCGTTAAGCGAGGTATCCTGTATCGTCACCCAATCGCTGTCCGAATTCTCTTCAGTTTCTAATTTCTTTGGGATTCTTTTCGTTTTCCTCTTTCGCTTTATTTTCGGTACATTCGACAACTGTGGAATTCGCTTATTGTCCGTGCTCGACGCGGAATACTTCTCAATCGTGGAAATGCTGGTACTGCTTGGTCCAGCAGCAGTTTCCACGGGAGTGCTATGGTGAAGTTTACTCTTCTTGCGTCTGTATAATTTTCTTTGACGGTAAAACTGATTGTCGGAGGAAGAGGACATTCTTTCGTTCTATTGTAATAGAAAGGAAGCCTCTTATTAATTAAATCGCGGTGACCGCGATCGATAGGCTCATGAACACAACCTCGGGATCCGATGTTGGATCAGAAATTTAGATGGGGCTCTCGAGTGTTCGGGTTTCGTTGCACGTGAAAGAATATCGGTTCCGATATCGCTACCACCGAAGGGTTTCGAGTTTCTGCTTCCGTTCTACCTCGAGAGATTACTCATGGAACCACCCTCGTTGCGACTATGGTAATCGACCGATTAATACGTTGACTGCCACTAGTCCTCCTATTATAACATTGTAACGGTAATACTTAGTTAAAAGAAATCTTAATATCCATATCTTAGTATCCATTTTGCTCTTATTATGTTAGTAAATAATGTTTAATTAAGCTACGTATATTTCATAGGAATTATAACATAGAAACGATTTGTATCAGAGAGAGTAGGTACTCACAAAATTATAAGAGTCACTATCTAATTGAATGTTTGTTCATTTATTTTTCTAGGTCTCCGTTTCTTCCCTCTTCGGTGCTAGGGTTCCAATAATGACTTAGAGTGCGATGTTACTATGAAGATCGGCAGACGAATAGTAAGAGCCATTGGAATTCAACCTACAAGTACAGATACGCATTTAAACGTTGTCATTATGTCCGAGGATGTTATGGTTCAATACATTCAGAACTGAAAGTCTGTACGTGAATCTAATCATCGTGTTCATAATACCATTATAAATACTAGAACTACCAAATATTTAGCTTGTTGACTGCCATGATGGTCACCGATGACCGGAGCTTCCAAATTGCTGAAGAACAATTACAATAAAAAACTTGATTTTAAATAAAAATAATTAGTAACACAAGTAGCTAGATCATAGCGTGATATTATTACTGTGATACTAAACCATTAATAATTATTTACCTTTGTTATAAAAGGATAAATATTACTATACAAAATGATTGTGACGGTAGTTCTAGCGTTAAAGGAGACACAAGTCGAACCGGTTGAATTATGTTCACTCGACCAGGGTCTCCTTTTTTAGTAATACACTCCTGATGGAACCTGAGGAATCGTACCACGGACAGGTAACTATATTCGTTATTTTCAAAATTGTCCGTACTCCGATCTGTCTACATGGTTATCAAATAAATTCTCCGGAGGTTAATTCATCACTGAATAATATCGATATCATTCGATTCCAACGAAGGGTAAATGACAGGATGATAACAGTTGGGTGGTATGGCCGCTCCTACAAATTCAAATAAATACCATAAAAAACGCTATCGAGTGTAAACAAATTGAAAAACTGAAAAGACGTGTCCTTATTTTTCAAAGATCTGAAGACAGAAGTTTAGAAACAATGTGGAAGGTAATTCATCATTTCCCTTTAGTATCATTGGAGAGACTTTTAATCTTGGTTCTCTAATACATACTCTAATAACACTCAAAATTAGAAATTAAAAAGAACAGTCTCTCATCTCAAAAAACTAGCTCCTTCCTTATCATTACTTTACTCGTTATTTATTTAAATAATTCTAATATATTCATTCCATAAACCAATTTGTAATTAACATTAGAAGAATCTCATTACCAAAAATCCCTAAAAGTTCAAAACTCCATATTTAGATGGCGCCCTTCAACCTAAGTGTACAGCATTGTGGATTTTATAACCTGTATAATACAATATTCATTAACTATTTTACCACGAATGATTAACACGCCTACTCATTAAAATATTTCAATCAACTGAACGACTCTCATCAACAACGACCGTTCAATTCATAAAATTGACAATCTGTACTTACAATAAAAATATTCTTCACGAATCGGTAATACAGGCTTCTTCCAACTCATGGATAAGAATGAGTTCTTCCTTATCACGCATACTCCACACAAGCCATCTACGTCACTGGTCGCCAGTGGATACCTATAGTAGTAGTGGAGGTTCCCCGAGGTACGTCAGTCCATGCTGGCTCACGGCGCCGGCCGGTTCGTGTGCTTGTTTTTTTCCTAAAATTTCAATTTGACAGTTAAAGTCGTCCTTCCCGAATCTCGCGTCGATTATCAGTAAAAAGATAAACCGTTCCTCCAGTCCGTTGCACGCAATCGATCATAGAAGACATCTCGATCGTCGATCGGGTCCAGTCTCGTGCAGGCTAGCGGTCGTAGGCGAGAGAAAAAGTCGCAGGAAAGTGATAAGGGAAGATGCCAGCGGACGCGGAGCTCAGCAATCTGCTGAACAGGCGGCAAAGGATCAACAACGAGCTCGAGGAAGGGAAGGAAGTAAAAAAGCAGTACAAATTCGTGAACGTTTACACGGAGTTCCACGAGCTGTCCCGCCGCGAGATCAAGCAATACGAGCAAACCTTCAACAGGTGAGCGCGTACATACGTATACATACATACATACATACCTTTCCATTTCTTTTCATCGGCGTCTCCTGGCTGCCCACGATTTTTCGACAACAGGAGAACTGTTGTCCCGCGTTGTCGCGCTCGCCGCAAAGGACCCGCGGACCTATATTTACCCGTGTTAGGGCTACGGTGTCCGTGAGGGCTTTGTGCGTAGAAAACGACCGAATATCATTGTCCAATCTGGCCGTGGGCTCTCCACGAATATTTCACTCGAATTTGAACCCTTTGAGCTCGACATTTTTCACTGTAAATAATCCTGGATTTCCGATGAAATATTGATGTCTTTTTTACAATAGAAATAGAAATTGTATATATAATAATTGAATTAGAGAGTAGAATTTTGTTTCTTGAATTGAAATGTACACGTAATTTAATGGTAATATTGTACGATTTTGTTGCATTAAAGTGATTGAGGGTGACGAATGTAAAGGGTTAACTTGGTTTACGGAACTACTCAATTTCGCGCGTTAAATTTGATAATTATTTGATCGAAGGGAACGAATGTTGATTTTTCTAGGAACAATAGAATCAATCTTGTAATACATTTTTTCACGTGATGAGTATATTGGAGAGTAATTAACTGAATATTGATGGAAATTTTACTGAAATTATTGTAGAGAATATTCGCGTTACAATAGAGTTCGGTTGGAACGAGTTTCAATCGAAACGAAACGAGTTCAATTTAATCGAACGTGTTTATCAATCGACAGATCGATTACGTTTGGAATAAGTTACTAGATTCGCTAGGGTTATGTCTGTCAATGATATTTTGCTACGAGTTCGTCTCCTCGTGTTTTTTTACTTTTTTTTGTTTTGTTGTTGTTACTTTTTCTTTTATTATTTATCACGAGGACAAAGAACGACTAGATAGAGGACGAGAAAAGCGAGAGTGAATCACGTCTGCGGTTACGAGCCGCGATTTTTCTCCTTGTGTACGTTTACGTTCGAGTTTGTTTAACTGCCTACGGGCAGGATCGTGTTGCTCCGACCAGATTGTTTTTATGCGTATGGGAACACACGAAATTAAATCATGCTGAAATAGAATATACCGTATCCTATTACTATCACTGCAGTTTACAGGTAATGCATTGTTTAATATTGTATCGTTCCACGTTTCCGCGATCCTGTCGTATATTTTGCAATCTAGGGGATTGCTAGGCATGGCGGGAAATCGTGGCGCATATTTTTAGTGACATTCTTGCAGAACCAAGCGGAGCGAAATGAATATCTAATAACGAATTGTGAAACAATGCTTTTAAAGAATTATACAATTGAAAATATTTACTTTTCGCTCTAAACCAGTGGTTTCCAATCTTTATACTACTATGTCTCCTTAAGAAAAAGTTTCTTTTCTGCGCCACCCTATTTTTTAATAGACATAATAATATAGACACGTTTTAAATAATAATAACTTTATTACAGAATAAATATTACTTCACTGAATTTATACTGTTACGTTACGATATGAAGTTTATTTATTCATAGATATTATGGTATGAATATTAATTTTTTAATATATGATCAAATTTTTTAGAGTTATAAGAGGGACTTAGCCTAATCCACCCTATATCTAGAAACACAGGAAAAGGAAATGATTTCAGAATACAAGGCAAGAAGCAAGAATAAAATCTAAACAAACATAAAATTATGAAAGCATAAAAATATACAGATATAAACAAATTTTCTATAATGATAAGGACTTGGCCTAATCCACCCTATACCCAAAAACATAGGAAAAGGAAATGATATTAGAATGCAAGGCAAGAAACAAGAACAAAATCTAAACAAACATAAAAATATAAATATATAAACAAATTTTCTATAGTGATAAGGACTTGGCCTAATCCACCCTATACCCAGAAACACAGGAAAAGGAAATGATATCAGAATACAAGGCAAGAAGCAAGAATAAAATCATTCCCGGAAGAAACCAAGCTCGCCTCTGAAGAATAGTGGATTCTTAAAATTAGCGAGACACTCTGGGCTCATCGCCGCGGTTCCGTTTCCGCGGCTTGACCGAAAAAATAGCGTCCGTCCTAGACTCTAGCCCCCGGGTGGTTCTCGCAGTTATTTCGCGGCTGTGAGTTAGGCCGGCGGCTTTCGAGGATGGCCAAGTGGCTCGAGAACAGCCGCGTTGCACCCTGCCTTCTGCCTTGTCAAACCTGCTGCCGGCTCACTCCGAAATACCTATAAGAAGAACAAGAGATACGCAGGGACAGACTGGCCCCGAGGTCGTCTGCCCTGGTCCCAGCGCCCAAGGCTTATCCTGGCGCCCGAGTCTGCCTCTCGTCATGAATTAACACCCCTTGCCTTAGCATTTTTGCTCGATCAGTCTTACACGAGTTAGTCGCTTCATTGTTAATACCGCTAGCAGGTTGTCTCATTGAATTGGGATTTGTAAAAACCACAAGGAACCTGTGAAATTGTTTGTTCAATGAAGTAGATGATGATAGAAAGATTAGAGATTGCTTTATAAACACTTTATGTCCTTTGATTTTAAAGTTACAAAGGTTTGCCTTAGCATTTTTGCTCGTTCAGTCTTACGGGAGTTAGTCGCTCCATTGTTAACACCGCTAGCAGGTTGTCTCATTGAACTGGGATTTATAAAAAACGGTAGAAGATAGGAAGATTAGAAATTGCTTTATAAACACTTTATGTGCCACGAATCTACTGATTGACTTCCCTAATGCTTAACGATCAGTAACCTATTCAAATTCTGGGTTTAAAACAATAGAAATCAACAGGGCATTATGAGATCTTATACTTTGATTTTAAAGTTACAAAGCTTTGCAAGTGAAAACAAATGCCTCGATGAAAATTCTATTTGTATATACCTAATTATTAGTACCTAGCCTTTATTAGGGGCGGTAGATAAAGTGTTAATCTTCCATTAAAAAGTTTCAACAAGAAATTTAGTTTACAATTAAACGATTTTCTGAGCGAATATTGTCACTTGTAGGTGCTAAGGAAATTGTAACGCTTGACCCAGCGATTCGCAAGGGTATTGTAACGCTGGGTAAAAAGATTTGGTATAGAAATGAAACGTTAAAAGTCTACTCGCTGTCCGGTACGTCAGAATTTCCCTTTCATCTGCAACTGTCCTTCAGCGTGGATTTCGTAATTTTCAATTGAACCGTGAACACCAGATCGTGCACGGTGCTCCGTAATTAATTGTTCGCCAGTCAACGCTGGCTCCCCTTTTAAGCCTCAAGAGCGATCGGGCAGCGAACGCGTAGCTGTATATTCCTGAAACAATGAGGAAAACTGGTTTTTCTCGTGCGCAAGTCGGTTTCCTTTTACGTTTCGCGAGACACCTGGGGATCGCGTGTCTGGATAATGCAGAATCGCTCGGATGAAAGACGTATTGTGTACTTAACATTCCACTTTGCGATGGATCTTAAGCTTCTAGAGTCTTTTCCTTCAGTTTCCTTTATTCTTCCTCTTCATCATCTTCTTCTCCTGTTTTTCTACTAGGCCATTACTTTGTAATTCAGTATAATCGGTCAATTACGTGCCATTGTTGGTTGTATCTTGCGATATTCTACAGTCACCGATGAACAAATGTAGGGTCACCATTGATGCTATCTTACAAGAAGAGGGCGAGACAGAAAAATCTGTTTCTGAAAAGCCCTCATGGCTTCGACAATGATCCTCCGTTTCCGAGGAAAACGAGTTTCAAATTCGTACGTTACCGTAATAAGACAACAAATAATATTATAATAATAGAATACCAGTTATTTAGAGACTATAATTCAAAGGAAAGCAAAGAAAAATGGAGGAAAAAAGAATTCTAAGCATAGAGATTTGGAATATCTTATCATGCTTAATTTCTTTACTTAACTCTCAGTCTATTAGCAAACAATGTTAAAAAACTATGAATGGCTCTAATTTTTTGCTCAGAGACTATATCATAATAAATTACCGTTGAAACGTTAGGTCCACATTAGAGAGATAAACATATTATATTGCATATTTCTATAATTGTACCACACATGTTTATTCATAGTAGAATTCATGTCCAATAATAATTCATATGTTTACGACGTAGCTTGTATTAAAAAATACGTATAATATATTATAATACGGTTCGTCGTATATGTTAATTTAGTCTTTCCGTACGGGCTACACGACAGACTAATGGCTTATTGTGGTTCACTGTATTATACAGGCTGAATTGTGCGGCGTTGTGTAACGTCAACCCATTAGATTGTTAAACAACATAGAGTTTGTGAGTTGCCAGTTTCGCGTGGGAATGTTTTTGAATACGGTGTTAAATTGCAGGCAGATGCGTCGCGGCGAGACGCATAAGACACGGGTCGCCTTGACTGTCCTCAGCCATGACTAGAATTCTACTTTTAAACACTGAATACGAGCAGAACGGCCGAGCCGCCATTGAAACGCGTTGTAATTAAGTTAGTCACCGTCTTCGCCTGTTTCACGATTTTACTGCCATTAGAACCACTGAATAGTCGAATTGACTTTTTTCTAATTTTCCTGTGGAAACTATGAACAATATCGAAGTTTCGATGGACTTATATTTCAAAATTCATTGAACTACCTTCCTTTGCTTAAAGAAATGGCACTTTAATGATACTTTAATGGTGCCGTTAGAATAAAAGATTCTTATCGCACAGATAAACATCGAAAATCCTAATGTACGGATTCCATCGCACGTTCCTATACATAATTATCATGAAAAGGAAATGAGTTTCGATATGTATTTAATTTATTTGCGAAATCAAATCTATTTTTCTATGAAAAATGTCCTCTACGTGAGAGAGTTGACTGTTTCTAGCGGGAAACCTGTTAGAGTGTGAAGAGTTAAAAATGAGATCATTTATTTTTATATCGTATATTAAGAAACTCGTGGTAAATTAAGGACGGAAGAGGAAGCCGGCGAACGATGACGTTTCGCTGTAGCAATTCAGGTGGAAACGATTAGATAATCGCGAAACGACAGA